CGAGTTTTTGGCCATGGAAGATTTCGATCTGATGGTGGAAGCGGTGGGGGTCGAGGAAAAAGAGTGATGTATCTTAGCTTACCAATCAGTTTTGCTTTGGACTGCGAGGCGGCATGGCTATCTTGCCCTGTCAACGATGGGTGAGGAGGAAGGGGTTTGGTTGGCTTCGGGAGGAATTGGGAATTGTTTTGTCAATGGTGGCTAAGGGGTGGCTGATGGCGGCAACGACTCTTTTCTGGCAGGGGCTTGCGTTTCTCGGTGGGATTGCTTGAATCGGATTTTTCAATGATTGGATGGAATTGAGATTCTAAGGGGCTTATACTTTCTAGAAAAATCAGGATTTGCTCCATTTGAATTTAAATTGAATTTCTGTTACTTCTCATGCCAGATGGCATCAATAACCGGGTAGGAAATTTTGGAATTAATAGTGCCAAAGATTACATTTTCATAATGAAGCGACATAGGGATAAGTTTTTTTATAATTTTTTTTATAATTTTTGTATATTAATTATATTAATTTGTATCCATATCAATTTTTTTTAAAAAATAAAATTATAATTTTATAAGATTAATTCTATCTCAACTTTCAAACTCAAGTCAATGGTTTACTTGGAAACTTTCAACAAAGAATGTTATATTTATATTTCATTTTACAATTAATGAGTGTTACTTCAACTACTTGTTAACGAATATAATTGTTAGAAGTTTTCAATGAAAAATGTTATATTTTTATTTCGTTTTACAATTAATAAGTGTTACCTCAACTATTTTGTTAATGGACATAGTTGATAATCATTTTAGATATTATTTTGTTTTTTTCATTTTTCATATTGAAATTTTTTCATGATAAATTCATCTTTATAAAAATTGAATATTAGATGACAATTAAAAAAATGAACAGAAAATGGAGAATATGATGACAAATTGATTAGTAAATGTCATTGTTCCTTTTTTTCATCCAATTTGTTTGTCTTGAGGTAATTTAAATAATATTTTGAAAGAT